TGTTCGATACAGAAAAGACCCATCTCACCCATAGCCAGTAGACTAAAGGCAACTGAGCCATTCCCTTCCTTAACGAGCCATACTGTACGTTGGAGTCCTTGTAAGATAGTATCCCAAAAGCAACTGGAGCTTGAGTTTATAATTTTCAAAGCCAGTCGAGATGTATATAACTACTGAATTAAATTTATCATGCCCAATAGAATGAAAGATTAACTGTGGTAGCTACTTTTGTTCTGCCTTTTTTAAAATTTTATTTTATTTTTATTTTTATTTTTTTAAGATTTATTTATTATATATACAGTGTTCTGCCTACATGTATGCCTGCTGCCAGAAGAGGGCACCAGATCTCATTATAGATGGTTGTGAGCCACCATGTGGGTGCTGGGAATGGAACTCAGGACATTTGGAAGACCAGCCAGTGCTCTTAACTTCTGAGCCATCTCTCCAGCCCCAGAACCTGACTTTTATTGCCTGTGTTCTTTTTTTTTTTTTTTCTTCAGACAGGGTTTCTCTATGTATCCCAGACTGTCCTGGAGATCTCAGATAGCCTTTGCCTCCCTGGTGATGGGATTAAAAGTATGTGCCACCAAACCCAACTATTGCCTGTATTGTTTGTTTTTTTGAGACAGGGTTTCTCTGTGTAGTTTTGGTGCCTGTCCTGGATCTCACTCTGTAGACCAGGCTGGCCTCGAACTCACAGATCCACCTGGCTCTGCCTCACGAGTGCTGGGATTAAAGGTGTGCACCACCACCACCGCCTGGCTTATTGCCTGTATTCTTAAAACCTCATCGTAGAATTTCTTCTCCCTGTTAGTGTTGGATTATTTCATGTCTTTTCTGTGCTGTGGTCATTTTATTTATTTGCTGTGTGCGTATATACATGGTGTGTGTCTAAAGGCCAGAAGAAGTTGTCCACGAACATTTCCCCTATTCTTTTGAGACAGAGGCTCTCTTGGAACCTGGGATACGGGTTTCCTGGGTTAGGCTAGAAATCAGTAAACCCCCATCAATCCTTCTGTCTTGGAGATGGGGTTTTAGGCATGGATTGCTGACTTGGTATATGGGTGCTGGAATCTGACCTCCACTGGTCATGATTGTATAGTAAGTACACTAACCTGCTGAGCCATGACTCCTTTATTAGCCATAGATCCTTAGCATATGCAATGTTGCTGTGCTGTAATCAAAGAAAGTAGTATTTCAGCAGTTGCATGTTATAGCACAGGCCTTTAATACTAGCACTGTCAAAGTGTAGGCAGGTGGATCTGTGAGTTCCAGGACAGCCTGGTCTAGAGAACAAGCTCCAAATAGGAAGGGCAATACAGGGAATTCTGTTTTGGGGGGAATGGGAAAAGGTTGTGAGTATATATAACTTAAAAATAGTTGAATACTTTCAAAAAACAAATAACAGTTCTCTGTGATAAAAGTCAGAGATAATAAAAATGTCCTGCAATGTAAAGGAAACCCCTACAGTATGCAGGTGTAAGGCTATAAATGTCGTTAGTGCTGAGATTTGATACCTTCACATGTACAGTTCCCTATAATTTTCTGTTTTCACATGTTATACAAATGCTGTTTTTTTCCCCTCTGGAGTGCTTTGAAGCTCTACTGTATGACAACAACAAAACTCTACAAGATCAATGTAACTTGCTGTAGCCTACTAATTTACTCTACTCACCATAACAAATTCATATGGAAATACAGGCTGCAGCAGTACAGATGTGTTAATTTTTCAGCTAAGTAGCAAGTTCAAGTCTAGCTCGGTTGCTAAGGTATTTATCGCACAATCATAAGGATTTGAATTCACGCCCCCTAGAACGCCCATAAAAATCCTGGGCTTGGCAGCAGTTCAATCCCAGGGGCAAGGATAGAGAGGTAGGTAGGTCACTGGAGCTCACTTGCTAGCCAGCCTAACTACTCTGCAAGTTCCAGTCCAGTGAGAGACCCTGCCTCAAAAACAAGGTGGGCCTCCAGCTGCACTGGAGATAGGTACCCATTCACATAAACACACAAAAATCGTGAAGGTAGATTGGAATGTGTTCATAAAAGTGCTTTTTAAAATGCTATCTGACTGGTTTTCTTTTCATCTCCCCAGCCTGTCTCGATACAGATTGAAATTCAGTGCTGATAAAGTAGACACAATGATTGTTCAGGCAATTTGTAAGTACATGGCAGAATCTGATCTGTTGTAGTTCTGTTATTTCCCAGCTGTTGTTACTGTTTTATCTGTTGAAAGAAAGAGGAACTAGAACTTCAGTGAGTAGATGATTGGGAAAGCAGAGTAGGAAAAGGAATCACATTGTTAATCATATCTATGGATTGATTTCATTTTCCATCAATGCTAAAACTGCAGGAAGGGTCTGTGTTATTAAGTGTTCTGTTTTTCATCTGGCTTTTTTAGATTCTCATGAATTGAAAAATTTTAAGAAACATGCAAGTAATAAAAATTGCTTTGATCAACAATTCTATTACTTAACTGTATCAAGAGTTAAAGTCGTGGACTTGGTCCTTTGTGTTACCACCCCTCTTCATAGCAGTATTACTTAAATAGCTGAGAAGGAAAATGTTTATCATTCAATGAATAAACAATGTAGATAAAGAAACACACACATAAGATTCCATTTGTAATATATGCCACAATGAAGAAAATTTTGCCTGTATAAGAAGCCAAACGGGCTAGAGAGATGGCTCAGAGGTTAAGAGCAATGACTGCTCTTCCAGAGGTCCTGAGTTCAATTCCCAGCACCCACATGGTAGCTCACAACCATCTGTAATGAAATCTAGTGCCCTCTTCTGGCCTGCAGGCATACATGCTGTATACATAATAAATAAATAAACCTTAAAAAAAAATGGAGGCCAAACAGAAAGGTAGCTCTTGAAAAGGACCAGGATTTAATTTCCAGAACCCACATAGTGGCTCACAACCATCCAGTTCCAGAGGGATCCTACTTAATGAATGCCTCCTTGAGGGGAATCGGGAACAGACACAAAAAGAGATGCCTAGAAAGTGTTCTCTCCTTCCACCATGTGAATCTTGAGGGTTGAACTCTAGTGTCTGCTTGGCAGGAAGTGACTTCACTCATTTGCCATTACAGATATTTGTTTGGAAATGGAGTCTCATTATGTAGTCCTAGTTGGCCTAGAGCTCCAACATCCACCTGCCTCTGCCTCTAGAATGCTGGTATTGGAGGTGGATGCCAGCACACTTGGCTCCAGAGGTTGCTTTTCAAGGGGTATAAGATTTTCAGCGTAATGGAACTGTTCTGAAAACAGATGTGTTAATGGTTGTATGGCATGAATGTATGTAATGTCATAAAATGCTTGAAAATGCTTTGAGACAATTTGTTGTGTGTGTTAACTACCATCAGTCCCTCATTTGTTGTTTTTATTTCATTTTGCAGCCTTATTAGATGACTTGGATAAAGAACTAAACAACTACATTATGCGGTGTAGGGAATGGTATGGCTGGCACTTCCCTGAGTTAGGGAAAATCATTTCAGATAATTTGACATACTGCAAGTGTTTACAGAAAGTTGGTGAGTTGATTTTTTTTACCCTTAATAATTCAAAATAAGTGACTATAACTCAGTAATAATAATAAATTAATATAACTCAGTAGAATTGTAGTACATACTTAAGATTACTAAAGTTTTAAAATTTCAAATGAAGCTATTTCATTTCTGTTATTTTAAAACTGAGCTTTAACTTTGATTTTTTTTTTAAAGTGGCTTCTTTTAAATATCTAACTTAACCAAATAACAATCTAACTTACCAAAGTCACTAGCTTCAAATGATCCCAACTGACCCAAATAACAAAGATTATTGTTTATCAACCAGTATCCATAAATGTTGTTTTCAACTTTTGAGGCTGATTGTAAGATAACAGCTATGCATTAATTAGGATGTAAAAATTGATTACATGAGAAATCCAAGGCAAGTGAGGTTAATTGGTCCAGTTCTCTTAGAAGCAGGTTAAAAAAATAGGATGAGGCAGGCGGTGGTGGCACATGGCTTTAATCCCAGCACTCGGGAGGCAGAGCCAGGTGGATCTCTGTGAGTTCGAGGCCAGCCTGGGCTACCAAGTGAGT